CTCCCCCATCTTACCCCAGAGAGGGGAAGGGATGTGCCCAAGGTCACACAGCAACTCAGTGGCAGAGCTGTGTCTTTGGCTGGTCAGGGTTGAGATCTCACCTTTGACCCCCACCCAAGATCACTGTCTGACCCCAGATCTCCATGGAGAATTTCCAGCAACTTCTTCTTGTGTCTTTATTATGTTCTTAAAATCAGTCACGCATGACCACAGGCTATGTTCGGGGTGGGAGAGATAAAAATTAATTATATAAAAAATAAAAATCGGCCGGGCGCGGTGGCTCACGCCTGTAATCCTAGCTCTCTGGGAGGCCGAGGCAGGCGGATTGTTTGAGCTCAGGAGTTCGAAACCAGCCTGAGCAAGAGCGAGACCCCGTCTCTACTAAAATTAGAAAGAAATTAATTGGACAACTAAAAATATATAGAAAAAATTAGCCGGGCATGGTGGCGCATGCCTGTAGTCCCAGCTACTCGGGAGGCTGAGGCAGGAGGATCGCTTGAGCCCAGGAGTTCGAGGTTGCTGTGAGCTAGGCTGACACCACGGCACTCTAGCCCGGGCAACACAGTGAGACTCTGTCTCAAAAAAAAATAAAAAATTAAAAAAATTAAAAAATAAAATAAAATAAAAATCTATCAGGCCAGCCATTTGACCTTTCCAAATCATTGAAAAGAAGCCACTGTACCTCTGCCTAGACCCCCAAATGAGGCTGCTGTCCCTGGGGCCTGCTGCTGTCTGTGGACAGCATCCTAAACCCTGCAAACCCTGGGGTCACACACACAGGCCGACAGAGCCCCTTGTTCACCCGAATCCCACCTCCCGCACGTAGTCTGGCTCCTGGGACACACTCAGCAGATATTTGTTGAATGACGAGATGATTAAGTGCCAGGTGCCAGCTGGGTACATTTCATGCCACCTTGCACTGCACCCTACAGCTGACCGTGAGGGAGGCACCTCCAGCCCCCACCTCAAAGCTCAGAGAGGGGAGGTGACCTCCCAGGTCACACGGCTGGTAAGTAGGAAGGCTGCGTTTGAACACAGACCTGCTGACTCCAAGCTCTCAGACATTACTCTCTGTGGCCTCCAACCAACCCGTGTGCTGATCACAGCATGGAGATCCAGTGGCCACAGACACGTGCATGTCACCCTCACAGACATGGGCACAGGTCCTATGGCCACCCCGTCGGTCCACATAGCAATCACTTATTTACAAACATATAGTGCTTATTCTGTGCCCAGTGGTATTTCAAAGTGCTTTGCACCCAATCCCAGCAGCAGCCCTGTGAGGTAGGGATTATTATAGTCAACTCACAAATGAGGAAACTGAGGCACAGAGAGGTTATGTGACTTGTCCAAGGTCACACAGCGAGTGTGAGTGGAAAAGCCAGAATTTACACTTGCACCGCCTGGCTCCAGAGCTTGTGTTCCCTCCAGACCACAGGACCCAGGAGCCAGGAGCTCTGTACCCTGACCCTCAGCCCTGGGCAGAGGGCTGGACAGCACTTCTCGTAGCCCAATTCCCAAGGAGGAAACAGGCTAGAGAAGGAAGGCAGCTTGTTTGTGGGCACACGGCTGTGTGAGCGTGGCCCTGTGGAACCCAAGGGACCTGTGTCGGCCCCAGACCACTGGGACCCCCCAGCACTGCCCGCCTCCGGGCATCTCCTGTCCGTAGGTAGGGTCTCCTCGCCTACCCCAGAGGCCACTTGCCTGGGAAGCGCTTGAGGACGAGAGGCAGCGTGGGAGCATCGGAGAAATTTGGGACGAGAGACACCAGCAACACGTTTGAGAGAGGAAAGCCTGGGACTGAGGGAGACACAGCCCGAGGAGACGGCGGGAAGGAGCCCACTCTCCCAACACCTTGCAACCAGGCAGCAGACACGGCTTTTCTCCGGGTGAACACGCTTCAGAGCCACGGCAGAGTCAGAGGTGACAGCGAGAAGGAGCGAGGGTGGCAGTTACGCAGGGCCAGGGAGAGGACGGGGCGCGGGAAGGCCACTGGAAATCCCACTGGGTTTCCAGTGTGGAGGTGACAAGAAGCCAGGAGCGTGGGGACAGGGATGCCTGAGGGACAGACAGGAGAGGAGGAGGACACAGAGCGAAGGACGAGGAGATGAGGAGACACGGAGACAGAAAGAAGGAAGGAGAGAGAAAAGCAAAAGCAAATGACCACTCCAGGTGCCCCCAACACACCAGTGCTTCAGAGAGACCGCTCATGCTCTCACACGGGCTCACATCTGCTCACACTCGCTCACACTCACACTCTTGCTCAGGGCTCAGAGACCTGTGGCGTGGACTCTGCCCTGGAAGCGCGCAGCGATCTTGCAGAAGGCCCCTCCCTCCCAGCCGGCGGGGAGGCTGGGAGGAGGCAGGGCTGGCGTGGGAGGCGAGGGCTCCTCTAAGTGGCCGAAGGCGGCAGCTGAGGGGCCGGGGCAGGAGGGACCCATCCGGAAGCTGAGGCTCAGAGCAGCCCAGGGTCATGCAGCCAGGACAGGACAGCCTGTGAGACCTCATCACTCTCTCTCTCCCCAGGGACACAGGAGGAAGCTGCCCTCTTGGAGCCTGACCCGCCAGGAGCTCAGGACAAGACTGGCAGGTCCTAGGTGTCCAAATGTGGGCTGTGGAGTGACCCACTTGGGCCCAACGGCGGCCGCCCCCCTGCTGACCTGTTCTCGCCCAGAGCAGGCGTCCACAGAATGCCAGCCCAGTGCACGTGTCTGTAGCATTGTCTGCACTTGGTGGGCACCGACCCACCCAGGCCCTGTTCTAGGTGCTCTGTATTAATTACTGGCTCCTCACCTGAGTCCTGTAAGGGAGCTACTGTACTACCAAGCCCCATTTAACAGATGAGGAAACTGAGGCACTCTGTTAACGGATTGCCTAGGTCACACAACTCTCTGCAGCCTCCCCAACAGTGAGTGCCCAGTTGCCATTTGCACATTTTTCGCGAAGGAGTCTTCACCTCCTCCTGGGCAGCCCGGCCTGATGGCGCTGCCTCAGTTTCCCCACCCAGGGAGGGCTGTCTGGCCGTGGGCATGGAAGGCCATGGGGCAGAGACAGCAGAAAGCCGGGGACACGCGGTGCTGGCTGCCAGGAGCCAGCCGAGACCGCGGGGCGTCCGGACCCCACACTCCCAACCCGCACCCCAAGCAGGGCGGCGGCAGACGGGGCCGCGGAGCTGCGGCTCACGAGAAAGCTGTCCTGCGGCGCCACCTAGTGGCCGCCGCGTCAGCAGATTCCGAGATGGATCTCCGGGTCGACCATGCCTCTGAGCGCCAGGCTCCGCAGGGGGTGCTGCAGGGACCCACCCGTGACACAGAGAATTCCTCCACGCGGGGGACCCGGTGCTGCCCAGCCCAGACCGGGGGAACGACAGAGATTCGTCCTTTGCCCTCCCGAGGGCAGCCTCGCCGCACATCCCAACATCTCGTGAGCCTCTCCACCTGGCTGCCCACTGGCGTCCCGAACTCAGCCTTCATCCATTCAATTGGTGCGTTTACGGAGCGCTGACTGTATGCCAAGCACTGTTACAGGCGCTAGCGATATAACAGTGAACAAAACAAAGATCCCTGCCCTTGAGGAGCTTACCGTGGGGCGTGAGTGGGGAAATAGACAATAAACAATAAACGTAATAAACAAGGAAACGATCTGGCTATTTCAGAAGCAGGAGACAGGCGCGCGTCTGCCCGGTCACTGGGCTCCAGGGCCCCCCGCTGCCCTTAGCACAAAATCATGGAGTCGAGGCCGGACGCGGTGGCTCACGCCTGTAATCCTAGCTCTCTGGGAGGCCGAGGCGGGCGGATTGTTTGAGCTCAGGAGTTCGAAACCAGCCTGAGCAAGAGCGAGACCCTGTCTCTACTAAAATTAGAAAGAAATTCATTGGACAACTAAAAATATATAGAAAAAATTAGCCGGGCATGGTGGCGCATGCCTGTAGTCCCAGCTACTCAGGAGGCTGAGGGAGGAGGATCGCTTGAGCCCAGGAGTTTGAGGTTGCTGTGAGCTAGGCTGACGCCACGGCACTCTAGCCCGGGCAACAGAGTGAGACTCTGTCTCAAAAAAAAAAAAAAAAAAATCATGGAGTCGGAAGCCCTTGAGACCATCCCACCCAGCATGGCATCCCTCACCTCTCCTCCCGGGCCATTCCTGTGTCGCAGGGAAGAGGCCTTCACTATGGCGCCCTCCTGCCTGCACACTCCCACCTCCCCATACTGGTCAGCTCCTCCTCATCCTCCTGACCCCCAACTGGACAGGCCCCGCTGGGCACCACAGCACTGCTGTTCTGGGCGTCTGGTGCAGGAACGCCCCCGCAAATACTGGGGCCAGGCCGTCTTGACGCCCACCTCTGGCACCACCTGTGTGACCTGGTCAAGTTCCTTACCCTCTCAGTGCCTCTGTGTCCTCATCTGTAAAATGGGGAAAACGGTTCCTACCCATTAGTAACTAAAACTGAGAAAAATTTTTAAATATTCATTAATTTACTTAAAACAGCAATAACAAACTCGTTGCTTGGTATCATAAATAATATATTTTATTAAAAACAATTGTATTCTTCAAAAACACATTGTTTTGCATTTTTGCAAATGTCTTTTATGTCTGGCTGAATGGAAGACAGCTGGATTCTCATGCCGCACTCGATTTGTGCGATACCTTGCTCTGATTGAAGTATATTTAAAAGACCCAGCCTCACATTTTCCTCTTTCGTAGAAATTGAGAATACCAACAGTCCGCCCGATTCCAGCCTGGAACACTGCGGAGAGGAGAGACCCGAGAGGATGGGCCAACCACACTGAGCTGGCTGTGGACGGCTTCCGGGAGAAGGCGTGGCCTGGCTCGCAAGGCACTGGTTGCGTTGGGATTGGACAACTAATGTGTCCTTCTGCGCCTTGGACCCGCCTCCAGTCTCCGCTCCTCCCCCCGCTCAAGAGTAGACACCCCCCCCAACGCATGCGTCCTAAGGAAGGTGGGCACTTCCGCCCGTTCACTCAGGAACCCTCGGTTCCTGCTCAGGTTTCCGCCGAGAGGAAGGGAATGGCTCAAGCGGAAGTAGTGTGAGGCTCGTAGGCGGAGGGGAGCGCAGCTATGTCTGCGGCCCTGTTGCGGCGGGGCCTGGAGCTGCTAGCGGAGTCCGAGGGTGAGGAGGGCTGCTGGGGGAAGTCCGGCGCCGGCAGGAGGGTGGCGGTGGCTGCGGGCGGGATCCCCAGTGTGGGGAACGATGCAGGTAGGTCTCAGCCCCAGTGGGACGGAAAGCGGGCCCTCTGATTCGGGTCCAGTCCTCTCTCTTCTCTAACAGCCCCCCGGGCCGCGCCAGGCCAGGCCAAGCCGAGCAGGGCTCCGGGGAAGCGGACCCAGAAGGCGAAGGCGACACGGGCCCAGAAACTGCGGAATTCGGCCAAGGGAAAAGTGCCCAAGTCGGCTCTAGGTGAGTTCGGGAAGGGGCTGGAAGTGCTGCCTCTGGAGTTGGGGCTGCGCCTGAATGGGGTGGCGCTTGAGGCAAGGCTTGAAATGTTCACCAAGTATTGCTAGAATTCGGGGTCCTGGACATACAAGGTAAACGAAACACATTGCCTCGGCCTCATGGGCTGTAGCCCTGGTGGGGAGAGAAGCATCAAAGAATCACAAACCCAGCATATAATTGCGAAGCGCATTGAAGCCTATGAAGCAAAAGACTAGGGTACTCTGATGGGCCCTTAGAATAAAAGGCCAAATCAGTGTTCTCTGAGGAAGCGACATTTCACCTGAGAGCTGAAGGAAGTTTTAGAGTTAGCCAGGTGAAAAGTAGAAGAGTATTCTGGAATAACAGCATGTGCAGAGGTCCTGAGTCAGAAAGGAGCTCGTTGCCTTTGAGAATTTGAAAGAAAGAAGGCTGGTAAAGGTGACATGCAATGAACAAGGGTCAGA